GTTCTCGAGCACTGACGTGCACAGTTATTGCTGCATCAGCGTCCGATATTCAATGGTTTCGTAATAGTACCATGAAGATCAAGAGTGCGACAAGTGGTTCTCTTGTAGTGAAATTTATCTCGGCCCAGGACATTATATCCACTTATAAATGCACAAGAAAAGATCCAAAGTCGAGATCTGTGATCTGTATGATGAGTTACACCTGCAGAGTGATTCTTGCAGTAAATGAAAACACTGAACCAGCTGAAGCGACGGCTCAAGTAGCAGTCAAACTAAGTAAGAAATTTGTTATAGAATTAGGTCTTGATGTACATGTAAGTGCAAATCGTTTAAAACTGAACCGATCGGAGAGGTTTATCCATAAGTAGAACAAGGAAACGTACCCGCGAGTCCAGTTTCTAGCATAGGCTACCCAACTATTGCTTGAAAGAAAGAAAGAGTCCAGTTTCTAGTAGCTTCTTATGCCGTCGCTTGCAAAGTAAAATCTGGAGAGCTCGAATCTCAAACTGAGAAATCGATTGCTTTTCCTTCAATTTTTTCTTTGTTTTGTTTATCTTTTTTCTTTGTTCGTTTGATAAAAACAATCCATTTTTAAATTAATATCTCATTTTTGAACAGCTGTTTTTCGTTCTTTTTCTCTCCTATGTTTCTAAGTAATGGTCATGAGTTCCAAGAGATTTTCTTTCGATATTAACAGACTCGTACCCAGTCGTTTCTCTTTCTCTGTTTATGGGTCTCGTTGCATCATCTTTTTCTTCCGACTTCCCTTGATACTTTGCATGTAACAGAGAAAAAAGGAAGACTATCGACCGGGTATGAGTCTGCAATATTCATGGTCATTTTGTACCAATATGATATTTGATCAATAACACTCAATCTATTTCACCGGTAAATGCACACTGGCTATTGGCGACGTTCTTGTTCTCTACCATGTACTATTATGAGAATTCACAAGATTATTTTTTGTGTGAAGATCGTATGGATACAAAGTCTAAGTCTTATGTGTCTTACGAGTGAAAGTGTGACGGAACATTATGCACGGGGGCTGATTTGAATCCTATCACCATTTAGGGTAGTTCAAGAGCTAATTTCATCATTGATTAATTGTTTATATTTTCACAAATTCTCAATATTTATAGATGTTCCAGCAAAGCAGGATTTCAAAGTTTATCCATATGAAAATGGATTATGGTTGAGTTGGAGGCCTGAGCAATCAGATGACGTGGGAAGAATCACTGGTTATGAAATCAAGCTGGACGGAAACGTATCCAATGTTAAACCYAGAAAAACTCAGCATACATTACCTGACCTTCAAGCATACACCCTCTACAGAGTACAAATGAAAGCGATCAGCGTTGTTGGTGAAGGACTGTGGAGTGACGTTAAAGAAGTGACTACGCTTGTTTCAGGTACATCTTACAAGAACTCTTTCGTYTGTTGTAATTTCCTCGAGAAATTAGTTACGCGAGACTGTGAAAAGACATATATGTTATTTACCGGCTGGGAGGTCCGTAAAGGAAAACACTGCCCGAGGTCTTGACAGTACGGACCGAGCGCAGCGAAAATTTGAATTTTCAGCAACTTTGCTCGCAACCTAGCTGCAGGATACCGTGGACCAGGAAGATCGTGAAAAATCGGACCGCACGCTAGCCAATCACAGCGCGCAAATGACTATGATACCGGCCCAAAAAAAATACACATTCCTATTAAATGACTTTTGGCAGGAAACTTTAGTGATTCTTTTAAACCTAGTGTAGTTTAAAAAAAATTACAAGGAATCAGAAAATAGAGACTCGCAAAAATTAGAACGAATAATGTAATTTTTAAAGAAGTTAGAACAATCGATCTTATAAGAACTGCACCTTTATGTGCCAATTCAATAATTTGGCAATTTCAGCACGATCCTGGGATCGCAAGATAGTTCTGAAAAAATCTGGGCTATTTCCTATTTAGTCTAAAGCTTGATCAGTGTTTCCCGCAAAAGATTCATTTAGAACTATATTCAGGATAGAAGATATATTTAACTTTACCTTTATCGTCTGATACTTTATCTTGAAGCCTTATGSCCTCAAAATTCACACAATTTCGTACCACAAATAAGCAATGAGTCTGTGGTCTTTGAAAACACATAGTCTTTTCCATCGAAACCGTTACTGGTTTTCTTAAATCTAATTTTAAAGATTATCTGAAATATAGTTGTTCATGGTATATAATACTAATATCTACAGTACCAGAAGGAAAACCATCATGGTCCGGCCGGGGTTTGAACCTGCGACCTCCCGCACTAAAGTCCGATGCTCTACCTACTGAGCTAACCGGTCGGCGGTTATATGATGAATAAGTTGAAAAAAATCTGTATTGTAATAATAATGCACAGAACCAAAAGATTCAAGTGAAAGGGCCCATTAACTATGTGCAGGATTGCATAGATTTGAATTTACTTTTAGTCTCTGACACATAATTTTTAAGACTTCAAAACTCACACCTTTTTGTGCCGCAAAAAAGCAATGAGACTGCGGGGTAAATTCAAATCTTTGTTTTTCAGTGCACGTAAGCTAAATATAATTCTTGAAAAACACATCTTTTCGATCACTCATGGAACCGGTTAGTGGTTGAATGATGCACAACTTCTAAATCTAATGTTATAAGAAATTTTTGATACATAACGCGCGCTATGATGGCTGCATGACGACCGTGTCTACATCACAGTAAAGGAGACTTGATGAAAAAATTTGTTTTTCGCTCGAAAATCGCAGAAATATAAAAACTATAANGCTTTCTTAACAGTCTATCACACAACATTAGCTAATTTAGCGTATCTAAGGCTAGTAAGAGGAAGAATTTTATTTTCCCTTTTTTATGAGCTCAGCAAATTCTTTTTTTTTAAGGACCAGGAGAACCGTATAACTTGAAGTCACGTAGAATAGGAAAGTCTTTTATAACATTGGCATGGGAAAAACCAAAAGGAATGATAAAAGATGTAACAGGCTATAGGGTATGTGCTCATTAAACACAAAATGGTAAAAAAAATTGAAAGATTATAAGTAACTTGCTTTATCTCCAATATGTAGAAATGCCACGAACGTGTTATATTCATGAGATTAAATGTTGAAAGCAAAACAAATTCGTAGAACCCTTTTGTAAATATTCACCTTCTCATGTTCAAAATTCTCTCATAACCGTTTTTGATGAACGTAAGAGCGCCGTAGGTTATACTCCTCAAAACAAAGGAATCGCATCCATTTATACAGAAATGTAGGAATTGATATTTTCCCCACTGGTTTTTTCATATTTTAATACATTTGTGTTTTTGGAATATATGCTAGACAATTTTTTTTAATATAATTTGTTTTGTTGTTGTTGCGTTGTTTTCAATGATAGAGTGCATGTCATAAATGTGTGAAACAATAGCGTAACTATTTTTTGGGCGTATCGGTATTAAGCTGCATAGCTGCTAACTTCGTAGTTATTTTCTTCATATAAGAATTGATTCAGGCGTAAAAACAAAGACACAAAGAAATGTCTATCTTTGATTTCTTTGTGTCTTTGTTTTTACGCCTGAATCAATTCTTATATGAAGAAAATAACTACGAAGTTAGCAGCTATGCAACTTAATACCAATACGCCCAAAAAATAGTTACGCTATTGTTTCACACATTTATGACATGCACTCTAGTACTTTATTTTCCGTAAATCTTGTTTTTTTTATTTCATGCAAGGTATATTTTAAGGGTTCAAAGCCATACTGGCCTGAATATAGATCTCCACTTGACACTAAACCCCAAGATGGCAGCCAAACAACACTTAAGATAGACAACTTGCAGCCAGGGACATCCTATAAATTTTGGGTAACAGCGTTGACAGTTTGCGGTGAAAGCAACAGGAGTTTAACAGAAACAGTGGAAACAAAAGTGGACAGTATGTACCAGGACATATTAACGCTTGTATGAGGAGGGGTTTATATTTGTCATTAATAATGTTGCTTCATTTTAAACCGACAGASCCTCGTCTTTCACAGCAAGTAACTCCTTTGATTCTTAGAGACAGTTCTAACGTTACATTATGGACATTCAAACCACACAATGGACCAATTAGGTACAGAAGTCTAAAAATCTAGCCGTACTAAAATCTTTATGCAACGTATCAAATGACCACCAGAGAGCATCGTACGATTTGGTGGTTCAGTGCTAAAATCCTTTGCGGAATTATGTTATTATATTTTAGAATTATCTATTTATTTTTTATTTGAATATTTGGTCATAACCTTCCAGTGGGAAAGGGGATCAGGATGCACCATTTATAGTGAAGATTGTAGCATGACTAATTCTTTTATATGTGAGCTCGTTTCACTGAGATAACATCTTATAGGTGCAATCTAATAAGCTGATGATATGCGCATTTATTTTCAGTTCGTACCACGTAATTGTAGTCAGTGGTAGAAATAAGAGCATGACCGAAATACCAGAAAACCTTAGTGACTACCAAAATGCCACCAGCAATAGCGAACTGTTCTACATCACAGCCGAGCTAACACCAGACCAAATAAAGACTGCAGGGATGTTTGTCATCGGTAACAATAGAATGTATGGGAAATACAAAAACGTGCCTTTGGAAAAAGGTCAGGCTTACACCGTAGCTGAGAGAGCAATCACAATATATGAAAAGGTAAGTGAAAGGTAGTTTCATTTGATGTAATTATTTAACAGATGTTACTGATTTGTGAAAAGTTCTCTGTAAAAAAAGGAAATCGATCAATTCTTGAAACGTCTGGACAACGGGCTATTCTATTTTCTGTTTTCCATGTATTATCTCTCAGTTCTTAATTTTCACATTCGTAGCTTTTTTTCTTCCTTCGATCTTTCCATTTCTTCCCCATTGTTCCAACTTTCTTATAATCCTCCGTTTATGATTAACCTTTTTCAGACTTTTGTTACTTTTTTTGACTATTAATCTATACATAATTCCGTTCCAACGATTTCTTCCAGAAAACCTACGTGAGTGATCCAGTCCATATTGCAACAATCGAACTTACTGCAGGTAATCGATGAATATAACACCTACAAAGGCGAAGGCTATATGTGGAAATATTTTGCAGACATTTTCATACAATGACAACTTAAAACCATAGATACTAGCTATATACCGATTAAAAATAGATCCGCCTGGTGTAACCTTGTGTTGGCGCTATGTAGTGTATGTTGTGTTGGTGCCCTAATTTACATACTTCATTTAATTAAAAGTTTATGGTTGACGTAAGAGGAAATATTCGTATTTGAGTCCTTAAAAGATAAAATGATCGATTTTGCGGGTAGTAATAAAAGTTTGATGTGGAAAACAAAATCAAAATGAGGTCGTTATGGAAAGCGCTACAGCTGTAGGTGAACACATGCAACACTTTGGTACTATCATTAGGATGATGAAAAGTACTTTTTTTCTTTGTAACCGATTAATTGTCATTTTCGTTTTCAGAATCGAAAAATCATGCAGAACAGTCAAAGAGTACTCCTCCCAGTGGTGTGATAATAGGAGTCGTAGTAGTCCTACTTGTAATCGTGGTTATACTGAGTCTGTTGGGATTCAAATACAAACGGTATGAAAGTTTGCATGCTTTTTAAATTAAAACGTTATGACATCAATGACTCTTGAGTTTCCAAAACTTGAAGTCTTTTCTCGCAAATTTCCATATAATGAACCCAGACGGTCAACAACAGCCTGTTGCAAATTGGAAACTGAACATTCAAACTTGGCATAGTTTGATAACAATTTTTGTAATTGCAGGAGCCGCATTGCAAGGAACGACTGCTCGGATATCTCTCTTGATGATATCGTTAATGATCCTGATGGTAGCGGTTCAAAATCATCACGCAAAAACCTGAAAACTTACGTTGACGTTGGTGTTAGTGGCTATGTTGGTAACGCATACATCTTTAACTTGAAATGACTAAGCTAAGCAGTTTTAGTCTGTGTATTCCATTTGAATTTGTTATAGTAAATATACTTGTACTGCAGTTAAATCYTGCATATATTTGGCTGTAAACTGCGAGCACCATGGGCCTGTCCTCTTTCGTCCAGGCCTAATTAAACAGGCATTTGTAAAGGCTTTTCAAGCTGAAACAAGTTGCATTGTAGGAGCATGATTATTTTAATGATTATTTTTTATTTTAATTGCTTATGGTTATGAGCTAAAAATAAAAGAAGCTCTTTTTATCAATCATTTTAAACCTGAACTTAATACTCAGGTCAAACACTATAATACCACTATCCACTTGTAATCTCATCTCTTGTTTTAGTTTACTTTTGACCGTTGTAATTTAATCATATTATCTATTACTACTTTAGTTTCCAATTCACTAGGTT